TGATGCAGAAAGTCTCAGATCCAAAAGACTTCAGAAACCGTATGAATCAAATATGATACCTTTGGCATTATAGTGATATATGTATATATATACTGTATAGATATATATGTATATGCTGTTGTTTTGCTTTTTGTGGCTTTTAATGATGTTTTTGGGCTATAAAAAAACTGTTTTGTGGCTTCTAAAGCTCGTTTGGGGTCAGAAACCGTGTGAATCAGATATGATACATTTGGCATTATAGGGATATATATATATATATATATATATATATATTTGCTGTTGTTTTCCTTTTTGTGGCTTTTAATGATGTTTTGGGGCTATAAAAAAAACTGTTATGTGGCTTCTAAAGCTCGTTTGGGGTCAGAAACCGTGTGTATCAGATATGACACATTTGGCATTATAGGGTTAAAATGGCGGGTCTGGGGGGGTCTGGACTTACTGAGCGTGAGCGAGCAGGACCTCTCCCCCCCCGCTCCGGGCGGCTGTGGGCGGGCCGAGCACTTCAGGGTCGTCCCGTCGGTCAGCAGCGAGCCGTTGGCCGTCCAGCTCAGGCTGTCCGCCTCCTGGAAGACCCCATCATCGCCGCCATCGCCCCCCCCCCAGCGCAGCAGCGGCGGGGGGGCGGCGCCCGGCCAGGAGCAGCTGAGCAGGACCCGCCACGGGTCCGGGGACGCCACGAACATGCAGTCAGGGTGAGTGTTCGGCACGTCTGACCGGGACAGGAAAGAGACAGGGTTAGAAAGTTTAATCAAAAGTTCCCAGTCATGCAATCAAAAATATGTTTGTTAACTCATTGACTGCCAGCCATTTTCAGAACAGAGAGCCCCATACTGCCAGAGTTATTTGAGCATTTTGACTGATTTTTCAATAGGCACAGAATAGTTTGTGCTATGACTATGTAAACACCGAACACACCAAAAGAAAGAGTAGACTCTCTTCTTTCATCAGGAAAAATTTTTTGTTTCTACCTTATTCCGTTCTTCCTCGACTTGCGTCTCACCGGCGACATGTTCTCTCATAGCGAAGCGTTACCTTTTTCTTATTTGCCTACAATCTATGCTCATCTCCCATCAAAAGTGGCACTGCCCCCTAGAGGGTCAATTTGTTACTACATACTCTGTCTAGAAGCCTGATATTTACGGACAAGCTTTAGCAGATCGTCCCCCAGCCACTCTCGTTGAAAAACATAAAAGACGTCTATAGACGTCTTTGGCAGCCAATGAGTTAAATAAAAAAACATGACTTTTTGTATTTAGGCTTAAAGTAAACGTTATCTGATGTTAGATTTTTTAAAGGACTACAAGTGAAACAGTTAAAAAAAATTAACAAAAATGAATATTCAACATTTAACAGCGTAAATGTGTGCTAACAATGCCAGATAATGATTTAAAAACTCTAAATACTTATTAGACCAAATAAATAAAAAATAATTAGCTTTTTATTGTGTCTGATGGTGTTGACAAAAACAAAGTAATAACTGGAAAAATCCCTATTTTATGAAAGAAATACAAAATGAGGAGGTTGCACCTGTAAGACCTTGGTCTATAACTATATACCTTCAGATTTTGTAATCCAACTAACTTTTTATTTTCAAAATTAAAACCCGTTTTATCCAAATTCCCAGGAATCAGTGTAATTTTAATTTTGTAATGTCATTGTCTGAACGTGTGTCTCTCTGTTTTAACTGATTTTGTATTATGTGATTTTGTGTTGTTTTGTCTTCCTGCTTCAGGACGACAGATGTAAATTAGCAATTATGCTATAATCTGGCTCATTTACAATCTGTATGAGATTGTTTATTAATGTGCACTGTCCTGATTAAATAAATAAATAAAATAAAAAAAGAAGAAAACAAGAGGCTAAAATAACAGAAAACATTTCACCCCGTTTATTTAATTACGAAAATAGAGAGAGGGGGGTGTTCTGGGATTAGGGGTTATTTTTCCCCTTGAATCCACTGTGGGTTCAGCTTTTCTTTAGTCTTTTCTTAGTCTTTTCTTAGTATTTCTTAGTATTTTCTTTCAGTTTGATTCTACAGGATCCCCCAGTCTAATTAGAGATAAGTGTTTTTTTTGTTTGTTTTTTACTTCCTGACCCCAAAACATTTCATCACCAAGCAGCAGACGTGACAATTTTGTGGTACACTCTATTTATTTCAAGATAAAAGATTAATCTTAAGGTGACAATTTAGAGGAAATACTAGCCATTTATTTAATTTTTTTTTACACAAACCTTTACCTCTATAGCAAATGCAGAGGTGGGCTGTGAAGACTCTTCTTCTTCAAACAATTAAAGGCAGGTTTGTTTGTTTTTTTTGGACAACACTATCTCACCACAGGTTGCAACCTTTTTCCCCACAATATAAGAATCGACTCAATGAAACAGAACCTCCAGACTGTCTAGATTCAATTTGAAATGGAAAAAAGAAAAAAAAAAGAAAGCAAGGTGGAAGGACCCATCCTGCAGAGCTGGTTTGTCCACTGTTGTGCAAGTAAAAACCGATAAGAGTTCAGGCTGTCGCTAAAGGAGCTGAGAAAGTACCAGCAGAGCTTTTGGCTCCACGTTTCCCTCCAGTCAATCCAAGACAGAATATAAATACATACAAATAAATACATACAAATACGTTTGAAATCTGACAAACTTGCATGTTTTTTTTAACATGTTAGGATTGGCTTGTATTTACTACCTTTAGAGTGTTACCTTGTTGGACTTTTTTACTAGATTTAGTCCTGGATTTCATATAATTCACCAACGGTTTTGTTCATTTGAAAAATGATGCTCAGACACTGAACTCATGTTACTTCTATAGTTGTACTTCCAAATTCCTTTCTTGCTTTGAGACATTAGATCCTTTAACACTCAAGCACACCCATTTCTTATCACATCTCAGTGGAATCTGCATGGCCTGAAGAAGACAAATGTCCATCACACCCGGAAGTGTGGGCTGTTTTCTGGTAGAGATCATTATTGAGATTTGTCAGTTAACAGCCCGACATACTTTAAATGAGACCTGAATAAATTACACATTTGTATTTAGATCATTTCTCCGGTTTATTCTCAGACTTCCAATAAAAATAATCGGGTTAACAGGCACGTGATTTCTCCTTTATTTGCGTTTGGTAAACTCGTGAACAAAAGGGACAGCTGAAAAAGATTCATCCATAGTCTCCGATCTTATTATCTACCTTTTATCCAGCAGTTTGTGTTGCCACCTTTGGGAAGGCCTACTGACCAAAACCGCCTCCAAATGATGGGAAACGGCTTTTTCTGCCTTCTGAAAATAATTTGAGTCTATTTTTTCTATTTTGTTTTTTGGTTTTCTCTGGGAGAACGTTTAAACTGTGGTTTATGTACATTTTATTTGTATGAAACAGGTCACTTTCTGTCTTGTGACTGTCAAAAACTCAACTTTTATCACGTGACCGCCTGACAATTATGTAGCAGAACCGGTTTTTTATTTCCTTTTTTTTCAGACAGTGAAAGGGAATTTGTCTCAGTCCCAGGTACATTTCACCACCATCCCATCCCCATTCCGGACTTACTGGTTACTTGAAGCAGCACACGTGACTGAAAGTGAGCGTTGCCTGGCAACGTGTAGTTGCACGCGTAGTCGCCCCGGTCCTCGGGCACCACGCTCCGGATCTGCAGGCTCCCGTCATGCAACGCGGCGAGTCGCGGTCCCCCCTCTGACGTATTACCGGGAGCCCCGGGGTCCAGCTCCAGCTCCTGGCC